CATCTAATGGATAGACACCCTAATTTTCCCAGTTGTGTAAATGGCCCCTTCTCTGTAGAGATCTCAGTCTCTAGCTAGGTTGTCCTGCTGTGGAATTTCTGGCCACAGGGTTTTTTGTCCACAGTTTTTATGCAGTAGGGAGATGCTGTACCAATTGTATTTTCAAAGAGCTGAAAGGCATTTCCATTGTGTTCAATACAATACCGCAGACTGGTTCTACTGGAAGTTTTCCGTCTGAGTTCAGCGCAATCCAGTTTCTATAATGGCTGAATACATGGTATTGTATTTGTCTCCCTCTGGTCCTTTGGCCCCTTAAGCCACTGTTGAGCCTCTAAGGGCTGGGATGGACCTAAGGGCCCAGAAAGGTGGCCACAGCACAGAAAAGGTAGGGAACGCTTGTAGATTACAATTCCCAGTAATAAGCATGTAATTACAAGTGCAAACAAGTGCATTTAAGAGCCTATTTGCTTTACACATATGGTATGTGGACTTACAAACTGGATTTTTCCGTGAGGCTTAAAGCTTTATATCCCCTATCCTCAATAAAATCAAATGTCTGTTGATGCCTTACTGTCTCACATCCCCCACAAAATTCCAACCTTAAGTCTTGCTCGCATTCAACAGTGGCTGCAAAATTAGAAGCTGTTTTTGAACATGTAGCCCCCAGTGCACATTTATATACATATACACACCAATTCTGAACAAATTATTTTTATGGTTGGCAGTAGCTGCACTGGCGTGTTTGAGAATCTGACAGATTTCTGCATATGTAATCAAGATCTCAGTAATCCTACATAATTAGCCCACATCAACTTTTCTAAAACAGTCATCTTTCCGTATAATAAGAGGGGATGTTTACAAGGCTCATTTATCTTTACAGTCGGTAATTTAATAAAACTGTGTTTCCAAGACCTCAACATTGAGTTAAGAATTGGTAAAGGAAGTTCTGGAGATAAAGGACTCCCGAATACCTTGGTCAATGACTTTTCTTGCATAGGAAACTGCAGGCAAAAGTTCTACTGTATTTACTGGTTACAAAAAACCTTGTATCAGGATGATGGTGTACCCAAACAATGAGCACTAGTTGGCTCCTTCAAACTGTTTTTGCCCCAAGCCATTATGAACTCACAGGTATGATCTTATCTTCATTTAGGGGAGCTACCATTTGGAAGATATGATTTTCAAAAGACCTTCAAGAAAAAGTCTTAAACCAGAACTACAAGTTTTCTTGGTTTTGAAAAAGGGAGAGGCAGCAAAACTTCATTTTAGCATACTCCAGTGATTAACTTGTCCAAGATTCTTTGCTCAAACTATTAAGAAAGAGTCCTTTTATATATACACTTACATACATATGTGTGTGGGGGGGTATGTGTGTTTAAATTTATTAAAAACCAGACTGAGACAACCAAGTCAAGGCAAAACAGTTAAAATTAAATCTTTCTAGAAGTACAAAACTGGGATGTTCGAAGTGGTGAACTATAAGTGAACGGCTTCACATTCATATTTCCTCATCACTAGTAGAATAACAATTACAGAAAATTGTCTTGCAGAGGTATTAATACATTATAAAGATGGTCCCTTGGAAGATGCTAAGCAACCAAAAGACATGAAGCCATTGGAGGAGAAAAATCTGAAGCAAAAGGACACATTACATTTTTTTAAATCAAAATAATGGATTGCTATTAGATAATGTTGGGTAGTCCTATGAACCAACCACGACCGGGATAAATTATTGAGAACTCATTATTTTTTTGCATTCATATATGAAAAAAAAATATATAGGGAGAGAGATTTTTCCACCTGTCTCTTGTCCTAGGAAGAAAAATCCTGGTTAACTAGAAGTAAGAAAAAGTATATCATGTAAAAAAAAATACAGATCAGTGAGAATAAATCAACAAAAAGAATAGTTCCCTACCCATTACTTCCCACTGTGTGAACTTTTGACATATCAGCAAACTCTTCCTTTCGCTTGCTACTACTGTTGTACTGCTCACTGTACAGCTTTAAGGACATCTGTTCGACAGCATCTCTTTGTGCTTCCAGATAGCATAGCTGAACCTCAGCCTAGAGAAAGAAAACAAAGAGAAAAAAAAAACACAACAGAGCTTTTTAAAAAACAAATCCAGAAAGAATGCATTTAAAACAAATACTTTTGGACTGCAACAATTTTAACCAAATGATATACACCATCGGTTTTGTCCTTGCACGACAGTCAAAAAGGCTGTAACCATTAAGCCAGATAAAAGTATAGTGTATTCCCAAATGCTAGAACTGAACTATTTAGGTTTCTGTCAGAGAATGTGCTATATATTCCATGAGATGTATGTCCAATCAAATGCTGCATAAAAATGTCTGGACTTGAATGAAAAAGATATTAGAAATCACGCACTATGACAGAACAGGTAGATACATAAAATTACCTTTCTTACAGGCTTCAAGACTGATATTGTTAACATGTTGTCTGTGCTTCATAATTAATGAAAGCCATATTGCTATAGGTATTTTTGTTTTAAATAGCAAGTGTAAACAAAACCAAGCAAATTGGCATTATTCACATTCTGCTTTCCCATATCTGGCATCCACTGATTACTCAGCAATTTTGATTGCAAGGAAAAAGGCAATAAGTGAGATGTGCTGTTTTCCATCAGACTCTGGGCCTGGCCAGGAGAATGTTGAATAATATTTGGTATCATAACTTATTGAATAGAGACTTTATTTATTGCAGCTGTGGTGATCAGTTGATTCTGGGGCTCAGAGAACCATAAAAGGATGAAACCTGCTGTTTGCCACACTTGCCCCTAGGAACAGGACAAAGAACAGAGGGTAGAGTAAGTTCAAAAGCACTTTGGGACCAATATGCTATTGTTTTCTTTTAATAAGCTTCACTAAAAGAAAAGCACATTACGAATTCTGATAATGCTTCAAAACCTGCTATTTCTGGGTAACTCCATACTCGTATTTCCATTAGGAGGAGAATGCCTGTTTAACTATTTGGTGCTATGGCAAGCAAATGCAACAAGCACGGAGGAAATTTTCTACAAGGACCCTCTTGCATCTTCTACGGCAGGAGGTAGGGAAGTGAAGAGTTTCCTTGGCCGCTGACAGCATGACAGAGTTACCGATCTATGGAACAGCGGGCAGCTGTAAAGAGAAAGCAGTGAAAGGGCGAGAGAGGAGAAGGGAAATCTGCAAAATCTAGGAAAAATGTAGGCAAGTGAATAGAAATGGGCACTGAAGAACATCAGGAGGGAAAGTCAGAAGGGAGGTTGGAATGTCTTTATAAGCTTGCGGTAATAGTTATGTATATTTGCTTATGCCTTGCCTTGGTGCAATTTTTGCTGAGTAATAATGTAGCTGATTTGGAAATTCCATTTCCTTTTAAAATTTCTCTTTCAAGCATTGACAGCTTTCTCACTTGCTTCTTAAAGTGAGATTTGTTATGTTTGGCAGTAAACCCCAATATGTTTTTGAGAAATTAAAATAAAAAACCAACAAAAAATGCTAGCAATTTTCCAAGGACATAGAAGACAAAAATTCCAAGTAAACCAAGCAGGTCTTTTAGCGTGTACATAAATGAAACACAAGGCTTTCATACCTAGTCTAAAATAGTGGAAAATTAAACCACACAGGGTTACCAATGAAGAAACATTACCTGAATACAAAACTGGCTAATTGGGACTATCCAGTTAGAGTAAAACATTAACAGTTGAGAGAGCTATAAAACATGCTTTTCAGAAACTACAATTAAAACTGCAGTTTATATAACTCAGAAATGACCAAAAGCAGCAAATAAACAAACATCATCACTTTCCCAAACATCATCACCTTCCTCTTCCCCTTCCAGCCGCATTTACCTTTAAGTTGATACACAATCCACTTCCATAGTATACAGGGGTTCCTGATCAAATATGTTTTTTGGAAGGATTCTTCACCAGTAAGGATAATCTTTCAGCTGAGTATTTTGTATTGTCCACAGAAGGCTACGAATTTCTTCTTTTAATTTATTCTTACCAGAAAGGAGTTATTTACTGTTTGTTTTTATTTTAATAACAGTTGACACGACACTTTCAGTCTAAAGCCCAGTAACTTTCTAAAACAACTGCATTATCAATTAAAATCTTCCATGATTGTTTCAAGCCTAGAGGTTAAATCTTGTGGAAAACTTTAAGGAAATAATTTCCCCGATTTTCAGGATGAGTTTGGAAATCAAGATAAATAATTCTTGCTTTTTTGTTATAGGTTTTATATGGGGTTTTGGCTGGTTTTGTAGTGGTTTTTTTTTGTTTGATTGATTTTTGGCTGTTGTTGAAATTATGTATACAACTCCCTCCTCCCCCCAATACTCCAAAAGGAGGGAAATTACATGTAGCCTAAACTGTGGAACCTCACACGTATGAATTAAAACTCAGCTCTGAACACTATGAACACATGTATTTCTCAAATAGCACAACTATCTCAATACCTGAGATACATATTTTTTTTGGCATTTTCTAATTCCCCTCCATATACTTTCCTCCATATTTTAAAATTAGAAATGGGAAAAATAAAGCAGCTTTTCACAGATCTTTCATTCTCTGTTCACTTGCAAAAATATTTGTAAATAGGCAAATCATTAATGTCTATGAAAAATGGGAGAAGAAAAAGGAGGATGAAGTAGAATAGAGGGGGAAAGGAAAAACATGATGGAAAGGGTAAGAAAATATGTGGAGAGGGATGAATGAGAATCCACTATTTCTTCCTCACAGCTATAAGGCCCTATTGTACTGAGGATTATGAACTCCATCAACATCATACTCTACAAATCCCGAATACAAGCAATTGTGTCCCAGTTCTTGTACCTCAGAAATATGATCCCTCAATAAATCAACTATTTTTGGTTTTAAACACAATTTCTGTCTTCAACTATTGTGAATTCTTGTGGCAACTCAAACTCAGACAGTGTAGAGTTTCAGATGGATCTCTCTGATTTCTTTTCTGTATGAATTCATCTATCTCACTGTTGTACTTAAGCATTTTTTTGGTCCCTGTTCTAGTGATATCAACTGCAAATCCAAAGAGGCTTTGAAGACCTCGAGTCAGTACTGATCAGTTCAAGTCTGAAAAACCTACCTTCTGAACTAACAGGCCCAAGGCAGAGTCCAGAAAATAGTACACAGCACAGATATGCAATAAATCCAAGGCAGTTTATTTTCAACTTAAAATCTTTAGTGATAATGAAGGACCAGTTTTGCAGTATTCTGGCAGAACAATAAAGTAGCAACTTTATTAATTGCTAATCAAATATGGAAAAGCTACTTGCTTTACCTTCTAGCTTATTTTAAGTGTGAATTTTCAGATTGCCCTACATATGCTTTCTTGGTACTTAACACAGCTATAAGAACTTAATCTCTATGGACATGGATATCTAGCATATCCTGAGAAAGTCTACTGAGATATGCATCATCCCAAATACATGTAATAGAAATTGGGTGGCAGGCAATCATTCATTTACTCTTGGTGCCCCATCTTAGTAGTGGAATTCAGTTCTTCTTTTTCAGAAGATGTAGCAAGTCAGAATCAGTGAAAAAATGAACATGGAAAAAAAAAATGCCAAAGAATGATACTCAGCAGTTGTTTCCCACTTCATCGTCTTCTTCTAAGTGACAATTTTTGCAGGAAAAAGACAATAAAGATGCTGGTGACGGTCTGGTTACACACTTGTACAGATTCTCTAACAGTCACTGTCCTACCAGGATGGAATGAGTTTACAATATTCTGTTGTAAATTAAACTGAGATATTTCCAATAATCAAATGACAAAATGCTCTCATTTTCCTGAGCCTGGAGGATCCAATCTCTGAACAAGACTATGAAAAACCAGTAGTCTCTGGGGAAAAACAGTGAAAAAATTCTATACTAGTGCCAAATATTCAGCTCTAGCGATCGATTAATAATGGTAAATGTTTTCAAGGCTATTGTCAGAAAGCTCATTTTCTAAAAAGCAAGACCTTATAAATAAACTGAGGGAGCCTGGGGTGCAGAATCTGTTCCTTAAGACTGGCTTTGCATGACAACATAGAATGTCCTTTACTATACAGATCACTATATAACACGAAGGGGTAATCAGTGACAATACAAATCAATGAAAATACATTGTATTTCTTGTTAGACCTACATGTTAGAATGACCTTATTCTGAAGTGGAGAAAGACAAGACAAGGGATAATGGCTGTTACTGTGGGAGGAAGGAGATTTAAAGGTTATATTATATATAGAGTGCCAAATGAGAGACTCAAAATTTACACCAGTGTAAACTGGAGATAAGAACTCAGTACTAGTGTTGTTCTGCTGCAAAATATTTTTATATTGGAATGTACTAGAATAAATATCACTGAATTGGTATTGAAAGGAAAGTATTTTCAGACACTGTTTCCTAGGGAGCACAAGTCTTTTGTTATGAACTATGTTACTGTAAGCAAACTATTCTGTGTTTTAAATATACAAATTATAATACATTCAGTTGAATTTAAATTATGAAAGTATCCTTTCTCTACAGTGCTGTAGAAAACCTATACCACTGCCACACTAGACTGCAATTACTATAGAATTACATATGAAATACAGACATAGTTCAGTTCCTCTGTCATTAGTTGAACTTAAGCAGGGTAAAAACATTGTCTCTTAGATCAAAGCACAAATTCCAGTTTCTGCCAAACAAGGAGGTGGTCAGATGGCATATACAGCATGTAGACTTAGAAGGTTCACCTATATGTATATTTTATAGAAGTGCAAACTTGGCTGCACCACTCCAAAAGGATGCACATCCCAGCTTGGTACTCTTTGTATCTTTGTAATTGGTGAATTTCTTGGGAGATAAAATTTGGCGTAATTCCTTACCAGAATTAAGTTGATCACAGTAGCATTTATGTGGTCGTATCTGAGCCCTCAAGCATTTTCTGTTGTTTTCTGCCACAATATTCTGTCTATTTCTCCACATTATAAAGCTGTGGAGAAGGCTTTATTACAGTACATGAAACAGACCCTGGCTCTGTCACAGATGCAGCTACTGAATAAAATTATGTTGAGG